GTGTGTGTGTGTGTGTGTGTGTGTGTGTGTGTGTGTGTTTTCTCTCATTTTAGATTTAAAGTCAAATTTGGTGAATGTATGTCTGCATATTTAAGATTTGCTGTGTTTCATGGGGAACAGCTTTCAATATGAAGCTTTTTTTCCTCTGTGTGCGTGAAGGGAAGCAGGGAGGCGGGGGCGCTGTCTCCTTAATTTACTTTTCATTTTGGAAAAGTGCAACTTGACTGGTAGCCCGGRCTCATAAATTAATGCCTTAATGTTCAGTGACATTGCTCAGAACTCATACCATGTGTCATTGTTTGCCCTTCAACCCCTTTGTAGAACCAGGAATGTTCTTGTGTTATTTTAAGACCTGGACAATTTGTCAAAGATGGAGAAAATGTGGCTCTTTGTAGGATTAAAACAATGCAATAAAACAATACTTTTTAGACATACGTTTAAAACTATGTTCATCTTCAAAGCTTGGTAAGAAGTTCTGTAAACTGCCATAGTTTTGTCGTTTCTCATCTAAAACTAAATACATATGGTTTGACGTGTTGCTAAATATTTTTGATCAAGATTGAATCTATTGTTTGTATGATTGACAGAGCATTAAATAACTTGACCTTTAATCTTTGGGCGATGAAAAGACTGAAAGAAATCTTTCAAAATCTGGCAGAAAATATTGACATTACCTCAACATCCAAGCTTAGTCTCAAAACTATAATTAATCCTGTTAGATTGCCAACACAGTTACGTTTTAACAGAGATCCAGTCAGTCTGTGCCAACTGCTGGGCTATTGTGGAGAATTATCAACAAACATTGTCATGAACTTTTTATTTATGGCCTTCAAACATGCCATTATTTCTAACGATAACCATAAAACTGTGCTGTTTTTTTCCCAACATCTAAAGATAATAAAATGATTGTGCCTATTAAACAGTAAGATTAAAGATCTGTTTGCTTCTAATTTAGCGTTTATGAAACCCCTCTTCATCTTTTTTTATTTAATTTGCAATATTCGGGATGATCTCACTCTGGTCATGTTTGCTCTTGCTCAGCTTTAAACAAATCAAAGCTTTGGRAAAAAAAAAGCATCAGACATAAAAGAAGCCTGCCCGGCCACACATCTACATAAACACGCACGAACGTGGCACACGCTCGCGCGCCCCGCAACGGCAAATGAAAAATGAAAAAGAAAAGAAAAAATATCAACATCCCAGACAGCTTATCATGGGGAACTAATTCAATATCCCTTTGCCTGTTTTAAATGTCATTCTCTGAGCTCATCTGGAGTGACATRTTTTTCATGCTGGAAATAAAGGAGCTTTATTGGGCTCAAAACTGAGTGACGCGGGAAGGGGGTGGGGTGGGAGGGGTTGGGGGGGCTCCTGAGTCTGCTGGCGTTGATGTTTGCTGAAAATCTAAAAGGTCTTCTGAAGAGAAGAATGAAGGTTGAGTCTCCCCCTCCCTGAGCCGACCAGTTGGGGAAAAAAAACAAAAAACGAGCGACTTATCAGTCAGGAAATAAAAATGCCTCTCATATATCCATAAAGTGCATTTAAGGAAACATGAATTTGACATTTCCGGTGTCACCGCCACTGTTATCGATGTGTTTGTGGGTTCCGTTGACTGTTTTTTACACATTTTCCCATGAATTAGGAAACAGGGACGACTGTGAATAGCATTTATCTTTTTATTACCGTCTGGATTTATTTGTTGCTCTTTCTTTTTTCCTGGATGATTCCAGAGACCAGCGAGCACTTAGCTGGAGGCTGTATGCTCTCCACAGTTGCCTCATTGTAGCGGATAATGACTTCCCTATTGAAGGTGACCCGTGTGACCTTGGAGACAGACAGTAAGACGGCCCTCTCCAGCCCCTCGAGGCATCCCACTGCTGTGGCATTTTGCCCACTCATTTCTGTGCCCGGCTGCCTTTTAGCCTTCCTAGCATTAGTTAGCAGGTTCTCTCCTCTGACTGGAAGGTTGGTCCTCAGGTGCACAGCCGAGGTTAGGTTACAGAGCTCTAAATATGAAAGGTTGACTTGGTCAGATGGTGGCATAACATTTGTAGCGATTCCTGTCCTCCCTTTTTTTTTACATTTCTCCTTTTCTCTTATATTCYAGGGTTTTTGAAGCCCCAGTGCTCATTGGCTCCTCCCATGCAGCGAGGTCGTTCGTCAGAGGCATGTTCGTGTTTCAGCGGAATGTGTCCCCTCCATCAGCGACGCCTGTCCTCAGGTAACTGTGTGAACAAACCTGCTGCAACTTGGTCTTTTTAAGGGTAAAACACGACTTCCTGGTGTCCTCGTTTTCTTTCCTTGTGTTGTCCTTTCAGGAAAATGTCAAAGTCATGAGTTTTATTTTCAAAGTGCACCTCGTGGCCTGGTGCACCAAATCACATTTTCTAATCATCAAAATGGCACTTTATTTAATTTCATTTCATTGAATCTGCTTTTGTAACACAATAAAGAAACTGATTACAACTGGAGCAACTGAATGCTGAGTTCTGAATGACTTTGCTGAAATTGGCTGGAAAAAACAACAACTGAGTTGTTAAAGTTAGAAAAAGCAGAACACTGGTTAAAAAGTAAAAAAAACATGGCAATGTATGATGCTAAAGACTAAGCTAAACGAGACTAAAGTTAGCTAAAGCTGTCAAAAGGCTAGTATTTTTTGAACTCATTTACAGTTTAAGCAAAAACTAAGATTTTGAAGCATTTCAGTACTTCGTTTTTCACTGGTGCTGTCATGTTGTAGAAACTTTTACTTGTTGCTGCAAAAGGACTTCTGTGTCCACACACACACATCCTTGTCCTTGCATCAAACTGAGGACTTTGTATTGACTTCTATTCATTTTTGTAACTGCATTTATGCCTAACTCAGACATTTTTCCTAACACTAACCATTACTAATTTATTTTTAACCTGAACCAAAACTTAATCCACACCTCTTAACCTAACTAGTAGAGTGCAGTAGAGCTGTAAAAAATGGTTTTGCAGGTAGTCCTCACTCTGTAGAAGAAACAAGTACACACACAGGTTTGCTTTTATATCCTCGTGGGGACCGTGGATTGATTTCCTTTCATTTTTTGGTAATTTTTATAGCCTAACCCTGATCATTTACCCTAAAATTAACCTCAGGCACCTACCTGACCCTAAAACTAACCTAAACTCATTTCACRTCTTGGTCCTAAACTGAACCCCCCCACCTGAAATTAGCATTCGTACCCCACAAGACTGCGTTTTCCATGAAATTGGTCCCCACAATGTAGCAAAAACGTGCACACACACTTCACTGCCTGAGTCAGAGGTGTGCCTGTGGAGTCTGTTTTTCAGAGGCCGTGTTCAGTCTGCTTTTCGATGATTAATGGTGTCTTTGCATGCTCAGTCCTTCTTAGGGACGAGCTGACGGAGGTGTTTTCAGATCGGCCCCTTCCTCCCAGCACCTGGACCCGCCCACTGAGCTTTACATACCAGCAGAGCTTTCTGTGTGGGTGCCGCTAACGAACGCAGGAYGTGTTATTAATCCTGATATATTTACCATTCTTCCCCCGAGGCTTGTTCTTTCTGCAGCATCGGTGCCGTAACTTGCCGCTCTGCCCGTCATGTGAGCAGAGCGTGATTAGTATCACAGAAAAGACGCCACTTAAACATATAAATCTTCCATGACGGCACCTGATTGATTTTATTTTTTATCTCTAAAGTAGAATTTCTCAGTACATGGAAGAAAACACACATTTGAGCAAATACTTGTGTATAAATCTTTATAAGTCTGTTCCCATATTGCCAATCATCAGACCTGATCTTCGTCCTTCAGCTTTTTTTCCCCTCTGTTTGAAGTGCTCTAGGAAGCCTAAGTGGCATTAATTGTTTGTTCATTCATTCAGKGGTTTTAGAACTCACAAGTAAGCAGAAATAACATTTCTTTTAAAATCAATGTTTCCATGAAACTTTATTTGGTACATCTAGATAAACTAGAGATGGTACTTTCTGTTCCACTGCTCAGATGCTTTTTTTTTTCAGAGATTCTGTTTTATCACTTTTTAAAAGAGTGTTTTTATAACCATAAACAAGATGTTCTCAGTGCATTATTATAAGTTTAAAGGAAACAGTCAAACTTCCTGCAACTCTTATTGATTTAAAATGTATTCATTTGTTTAATTTGCCATAAAAGTGGGAGCTCATGGGATTCCTGTGTCTGTGTTAGTAAAATATCTCATGAATTTGTGGACCAAATTTAATAAAACACTCTGAAAATAATTGTTATATGTACCCAATTCAAGAAATCTGCCAGAGATAATTGACCTGGCAAAGAGAAAATGATCTTAGTTCAATTTTTTAGACAGAGTTGAGCTAAGTGTGGGTGTGTTAGCTAAAAGTTATCTCCAACGCAGACTCGGAAGGAAGGAAGGAAGGAAGGAAGGAAGGAAGGAAGGAAGGAAGGAAGG